TGTATGTTTACATTGCATAGATAGAGACATGTAGAAAACCTAAGCAATTGAGCTTAAAACTTTATAATTTTTATGTTCAAGATACTTAACCAATATGAGGAATTTCATTAGACACTAAAATATTCATAAAACCCAAACAAAGACCAACATTTTTAATTTAACGGATATCCTAAAACATAATTTTGGTTGTTGAATTCCAGATTCAAAATGTTATTAAAAAAGAAGAAAACAAATGATAAAACTGCCCTAGAAAACTAAATAATGGTGCTACTACTATGAATAATAGGGCATTACTAAACTTGATTTCATTTGAAAAGAGATACAAAGACTTTCTGAAAGTAGAATGTTCCAGTAAGTTTGTTACTCAAGATGCAAGTGTATACAGTATTTTGCATGAATCAAAAATATGCCTGAGCAATGACTCTTTATAGCCAAGAACACAGCTTGTGTATGAAGGCCCAAGTGTTAGGTATTCTATTTCCAGGGACATGTCCATTGTGCTATCATGTAATACGCAGGTATTCTGTGTATGGCAACATTGCTAGTGCAAGGTCTGCTTTTCAAGGAGAGAAGAAAGGGCTCTGCTAGCGATGTAAGAATCCTATGAGAAATGGAAAACACCAAGGGCTATACAGGGGTGCTTTGTAGATGAGATAAACCTCTAATGGATTTGACTGGTAGAAGCAGAAGAGAAAGTTGCTCACTTGCTATGTGTTCACTGAAAGATGAAATCGTAGCCAGAGGAGTTGCAAAAAAGGATGTTTCCCACATGGACTGAGAAAGATGGTGATGGAAATCCAGCTTGGTTCTGAGCAGAGTTTCTGTGTAAACCCACCTTGAGCCAAAAGGCATTCCCCTCCCCCTTTAAAGTATCTTCAGGGAGTAATTAGCTGTCCAATCACTGGTAAGCCCTAATATATTTGGGTGATTTTTTTTTTTTTTGCCTGGCCTAGGGTGCCTCTATATTTTTATCAATAGGGTACAATAACTAAAACTGAGGAAAACCTATGATTTCAGCTTTCAGCATGACTGACCATTGGCTCCCATGCCATCGCTCTTGTTTCATCAAGAATGTGGTCCTTCAGAGTTGGCCTTCTAAGAAAATTTATAAAACTGTAGAACCTTATAACTGCAATTTTGAGTTCATGCCCCTCATTATTACCCTAGAGACTGGGATTCTTCGAAGTTTAAGCATTGCCAGGAATCACACAGCCAGGGCTAGAAGCCGTGGCTGTGTGTACACTACGTCTCAAGGTCATGCTGGTCAGACCACGCTTGGTTCAAAACATGAACCTAAGGGCATGATACTTTACACTTGTCACTGGCTTGTGCTTAACTCTTTACTTGCATGCCTGCCCATATGCATCTTTTTCTAAGAAAACATTAAACCATAATATACTTTAAGTCTCTGTCAACATTTTGTTCAATCTTGGGTAAACAGACAAAGGATTACTATTCTACGCTACACTTACTAATTGATATGAAAAATTATTGGGACCAAATGTATTCATTCTGTGTAACACTTAGAGAAAAAAAATCCAATATATATCATAAACATACATGAAAATTTTGTGAAATAACAACACAGTGTGGATATAGTTAAGATTTTATGTCAAATATTTCTAAATTCACCTAAATAACAAATATAAAAAAGATGTTTTAATGCTGACTTTATATTTTATACTAAAACATGAGATCCTTTTCAGAGAAGATCTTCTATAATATTACTTTCCTATTTAGTTATTAACCTAAATGATGTTATTCCACTGGATTTCATATGTGTTGCAGGTCCTGCTGGGAAATCATAAAACTGGGCTCATTTAGGAAGAGGCAATGTGGCTGTATCAGAAAAGCTGCCATATGTGAAACCTCACTTTATGCCTGTTGAAATTTTTGTATTTCAGGTCTCCCAGGGACATGTCCATTGTGCTATTGTGTAATTTTATCAGCATGAACTTCTGCTGAATATTTTTCCTTCTTTTCAAAATCCATATTTTAGTAGAGCTAACTTCGAAACTTAATGTTGCAACATCTGTGCCCATACACCTGGGAGCCATAGAAGATGTATCCTGAAGATTATCTACATTTTCTAATCTTATAAAATGCTACAAAAAGAGAGAAAAAGGTTATATATTTTTCCCGGTCTGGATTTTTTTTTTAAGGAATCACTTTCTGCCTCCTTAAAAGGATTCTTACAATAAAGGAGAACGAATACTTCTAAAGCTATAAAGAATATCTTTACAAATATAATAAAATATTCATTTGTTTTGTTTACAGATAATTCTTAATACATATGTACAGCTTTCCATTAAGATACTATTTTGTGAATACAAAATCTGGAGCTATAGTCTCGAAATGTTTTCAAACAAGACTTTTTAATAACTAAATAAAAAGAAAGTAAAAAAATTGCTACTTTGAGTTTATTTACTACTTTTCTTTTGTGGATCTATCAACAGCTCAATGGTTTCTTTTTTAATAAAATAGAAGTTATGGTTTTATTTATTCCTCAAATGCAAGATTGAGATACTGACAAACAAAGTGTTTATGAATGGAGAGAAATGCCTTCCACCTGGCTTCCTTCTATTAGTTGTTTTATCTCTTTAGAATAAAATATGTGGCAATGTAAAGAGTTTAGAGCACATCAAAACTGCCTGCCTGAGATGGTGCTGCCAATCAAATGGGTAGAACCAGTTGTTGTTGAAGGATAATGTAGAATATGTGATTTTCAACAGATTCAAAATAGTGAAGAAGGATGATGAATGGACTTAGGGAAATCACATGTGGATTTTCTTGACTTTATCATCAATGTATCAAATTATGATAAATACTAAATACTTATGGAGTGCATTCTATGTGTCACACATTGTTTTAATTGCTTTGCACATTTTACTCATTACATTTTCACCATAAATATATGTGACGGGTACTTTTGCCATCGTCATCTTACAGATGAAGAACCTGAAGCAGGTAGGTTAAGTAACTTGTCCAAAGTCACCCAGCTTATCAATGGTGGAGCAGAGCTACTGCAGAGCACCATGAGTCTACATTGCCTCCTTTCCTGTGAGTACTTTTCACATAGGGAACAAAATAGCTTTTCACTCTTACTTCGATGCAAAGTATAAGATGACAAATAGTTTTTTAAAATACGTTTTTAAAAATATTTCTATCTTCACTCCAATCTATTGGCTTCTTGACCTGAATGCTGCCTTAATATTTACTGAGTGTTCATTCCTCTTGAGTTTTCAGAAATCATTATAATGCTCACTTATTTTTTAAAACAGTATAAAATTATTTCAAATTTAAATACCAGAAATATTCAAGGCAGGGCCAAGTGAAATATCTATGATAAAGATGGGAGAGAAAATGTGTTTAATTCAAGACTACCAGCATTGGTAATCATCTTACAGTGAAAAGTCAAATTTTAACAAAGAAATTCAACCTCATAGTTGCTAAAAGCAAGGAGCAGAATTTCACCTTGCTTTTTTCCCACATGCTATTCCACCATTATCAGAAAAAGATTGGCATATTTACAAGGAAGAGAGGAAAGGAGGGTATTTACTTCTTCAGTCATCAGAGTAGTGTTCAATGCTTGGGAAGGCTCTGGGAGAAGGGAAACATGTCAATGTGTGCTGAATGCCAGCTTTTTTCTTATAGGTCAAGTCAAAAAGAGGAAAACGTACAGCTGTTCGATGTTCCTCTTTACCATTTGCATTTCTTGAAATGCAATAAACAAAGCAAACAATTTCTGCTAGAGAGAAATTGAGCTAACATGCACAGCATTGTCTATTTTACATTTTAAAACTGCAATTGAAGAGAGCAATACCATGTATCTGATTCTGAGTAAGGGTTGTATCAATTCTCAGTTATCAATATTAGACATGAAATAACTTCAAATATACCCTTTATTTGACTTGACAGGAATGTGGAGTCGTGAGTCTGAACTACGATTTGCAACAGAGAAAAGTTTATTAGAGGCATAGACATAGAAGAATGTCACACTGTAAATGCAGTCAAAATTTTAAAAGTGTCAAAATCTCTAACATGGTTTAGCAATTAAACTGTGTCAATGCCCTTGCCAAGAAGAGTTCATAATTTGGAAGCTGTAGTTGCTATTGACCTGATTTTACAATTGAGATCATGTCTGAGTTTTAATTTGGAAACAAAATTGATCACTGTGTTCTTTAAACAAGACCTGTCAAGTTATTACTCTGCAACTGCTTTGAAAATACATATTTATTTAAGAGCAGTATGATTTAGGATATACTGTAACAAAAATTATTTCATGAGCTTCTTTTAAGAGATTGCTTTATATTTAAACATTGAATTCTTTAAGTTCTTCAATTAATCCTGAATTACTCAGAATAATTTTTTAACATCTATTTTTAAAAATATTTCTATCTTCACTCCAATACGTTGGCTTCTTGCCCTGCATGCTGCCTTAATATTTACGGAGTATTCATTCCTCTTGAGTTTTCAGAAATCATTATAATGCTACTTATTTTTTAAAACAGTATTCAATATGATTGCATCCTAATATTAGCAAACAAACTTGCAATTTAGGTTCATATAACTTGCTTCTTCTACATAAATTGTTTCTTTCATCACTACTATACGAAGGAAGACAGATGAAATCCATACAAAAAGGTCAGTCTATTTGCTTTAAAGCCATTTCAGACTTTTTATGAACTTTATCCCTCTAGCCCATAATTTTGATTTCTTATAGGCTTTCTCAATACTGTAATTTTAAAAATTTAAATTGAATCTAAATGAATAACAAAAACATCCTTATGCTATACGTAGTTGCTGTAAGTCTTCCAAGTATCTTATTTTGCTACTTCTAGATTTTATTCCACTTTCAAAAGGAGATTTGGGGTTAAGGAAATGTTCATTTTCCCCCTTTACAAATTGTAATTGCATGAGAATAAATTGATAGTTGAATTCTAGGCAGGAATCCACAGAAACTTTCTATTCCTGATGGGTTAATTTAAGAGCAGTCCTACCTTTTTCACCTTCTTTTTCTTCTTGGTCATCTGTTAATGGAATCACTTCTGGTTTCTCCACAATCACTGCATCTTCTTGGTTTGATGCAAGTTCTAAAAAGAGACAGACAGACACTCAGGGATGTCTTAGTTGGAATCATCGAGAGAATACAGAGACTATGGCATAGAAAGAGTTCTTTCTTCCCCCTTCAAGTTTCAATAGGTACACCAAGTTGAGCACTGTTGTTATCCTCCAGTAATCATTGCTTAAAACACACACACATGCCACTCACACACACAGGTATATACAGAAGTCATGGTTCACAATTTCATATCATTCTAAGATAACAATATATTTTGGTTTCAGTACCTTCTGTTTCCATATATGAGCTCTGGGATTCTGTTTCAATTTTTATTTCATTCTTCGTTGAATCATTCTCTTGTCCTGTCAAAACAGTGATTGAAAAATAAAAGAAACGTGATATGCATGACCACAGCTTTATTCCTGATCTTCAGAAACCATGCTTTAATCGTGCATGGAGAGATAGAGAACAGTTTTGAAACCAAAGTGGAGGGCAAAGATACAATTTTTCTAATCGTCAGATTTATATCAATTATTTTCTGAGAAATATCCTGATAATTTAGGAAAAACTCTTTTTTTTTGTTTTGGAAACTGATTTGAAACTGCCATACTTATATAGCTTATCAATGCACAGGATGTGGATAGAGGACACAACCTGGAAATTTTCAAATTTTACAATAATTTCTGGGCTGTATGGGTTAACTACATTTAATTTCCTTTTAAGATACAAATGTTTCCCATAGTGAGGATTCCTAGAAAATGAAAACACTACTTGCACTTTCATTTTTCCATCAACAGAGCATAAAAAACTTGAGTCATGTGGGCACAAGGGAACTGGGGGGATAACAGCTCAGCCATTCTCTTAAGACACATACTAAATACAGCGAAGGTCAGGAGAGAATTCAGCCAACTCTTGATTACTCTTAGGTTGATTATCTAGTAATGGTTTTTCTTCCTCACCCCTTGGCTTCTCCTCCTACCCTCCCCTGTAGAGTTTAAAACATTTAAGTGCTCATTAAGAGAGGAAATTGAAATCTGTCCATTTTGCCTCAGGCTAATGAAAGATTTTGTGCTGAGGATATTTAACTATGGAAATTTTTTTTTAAAATTCTAGAGCAAAGCAGATTGAGAGGAGCGTGGACTCTTTGCCTGAGTCCATCCCTGTGGTGGCATTACGGTTTCAACTTGTCTCTACTTCTTCCTATAAGAGGATTATATTTCCCTGTCTGTGACAATGTGACATGCAGTGGCCCTTGTGGGGCAAGTGTATGTTCCCACCACATTGACACAGGTCTGTTCATGTGACTTGTTTAGGAAATGGCACTGGAACAGACATCATGTGTACTGCAACCAAGCAGAAGGCTTCAGATCCATTGTATGTTGCCTGCAACTCTTTTGTTCCTAATAGACCATGTTCCTTCATCTAGATCCTGAAGGGAAAGCATGTGGAACACAGTCAAACAGGGCTAAAAAGAGACACAATCAGCCTTTGTTGTTGAGCCCCCCAATGGGATTTTTGGGGTTATTTGTTACTGCAGCAAAGCTGACTTATATAACTCCTCATCTTAGAGTTTCCTCTATGATACAATTATTTTTAAACTGCCCATGATACTACGTCCCCTTGATTCATTCTCTGCTAGCAGGACCCAGATAAGGGAAAAATCATGCCTTTTGTGTGATATCCACTCCTCCTGAGCTCAGTTTTAATCAAAAGGATCCAATAAAATAATTAAAACTAAAGCATGTTTATCTATTTGATCATTGAATATAAAAACCTCAAGCGGTTTTTGATGATTTTTTTCATCACTCCTGAAGTTCAATGAAATGCCATCTTCATGGTTCTGCAAAATATTTCGGTTTTCCCACTTTCTAGCCTCCTGCCTTCTTTCGTCATTTAGGGATATATCATCTGTCTCTTGAATCTTTCATTTTCTTCTCCTATATTCTATTTTGTGATTTGATTGCAGAAAGGCCTTTTAAAATTTGAACTTGATCAAGACCTTTCCACTTTTGAAAAGCCCGTTCATCCTCATTCTTTCCCACTGCCACTCAAAGTTGTAAGGTTAGTTGAGAGAAAGGACGAGAGAGAGAGAGAGAGAGAGAGAGAGAGAGAGACACCGAAGGTCAGGCGAGTAAGTTTATTAGCCTGCCCGGCTGCCCCACCAGTCAGAGGAGGCAGCCTTCGGCTTACAAAATGAGGGGTTTATATGGTGGAGACAGACCCTGGGGTTGTTTGTTAACTTTACCACATATCATCTCGTGACCAGTTTACAATATAGGAACTTACAAGAGCATGTAACTTAGGTTTATCCACGTTTCTCACGACCTCCCCCATGCCACCCGGAGGGCTGTAAGTAAGTCTGGTGACCTTGCTTAGTGCCTAGATAAGGGTCTAGGAATGCAGTTGCAGAGTATTCGGGGTAAGTTTCAGCTGCATTGTTCGGGGTGGGGGTGGCAGACCTGGGGCAGCTTGTCCCTAACAAAAGTATGGTCCATGGACAAGCAACATTGGAATTACCTGAGAGCTTTTCAAAAATGCAGAATTTCAGTATCGGAGCTTGCATTGTATAACAAGATGTCCATGTGATTTGCATGCAAGTTAAAGCTTGAGAAGCACTGGCCTAGAAGATGTAAGTAAATCTGCAAATTATTGATCCCCATAAAAAATGCCAGACTGTCCCTAGATACTTCACACGTATTATCTCTAATCATCACATTACCCCTGTAAAGTAAGTCCTGTGATCTCAGTTCTGCTTTCAAAAATCATAACCAGCTCTACCTGACTACAATCCCTCTTTTCTTTTTGTTTTGCCTGGAAATGTCTTTATTTTGCTTTTTGGCTTTTAAAATTGAGATCTACTTGCATACAGTAAAATGTACAAACCTTAACTGTACATCTTTATGATGCTTTAGATATATACACACGAATTTTCCTGTGTAATTACCATTCAGATCAAAAACGATTCTCATACCAGTGGCTTCCTCCTGTTCATACGCCCACCAGGTAACAGTGTGGTGTGTTTTAGAAATTCATTTAAATGTGACATGCACCATATGCTCTTTTGTATTTTAGGTTTTTTTATAACTGTTGTCTGTGAAATTAATTCCAGTTGCTGTGTGCATCAATTGTTCATTCTTTTTCATTGATATATACTATTCTACTGTCTGCATATACTACGTCATATGAGTGTTGAATTGTTTTCAATTTGGTGCTGTTATGAATAACACTGCTAAAATAAAACTGCTTGAATGTTTCTTTTGGCAACATATTTTAATGGACTCATATTCCTTGGGTATAAACCAAGTGACAGAGAACAAGTAGGTTATATAAGAGAGAATATATATGTTTAGCTTTACTAGATCCTGCAAAACAGTGTTCTAAAGAATTTGTTCTGTTTTACACTTCCACCAGAAATATATAAGGATTCCATCTGCATCCTTTATTCTTTTGATTATGTCATGCTACTATGGGCCACAAAATATGCAGCAGAAAGCAATTTAAAATCTTTCACCTCAACCCAGTTTCTACCCTTATCACCTTTGGATACTATATAGAATGATGATGACTGAACTATTGGTTATTCATTCTACAATGTATTGAGTGCCACCAGTGGTAAATATGCCTGCTGCTGGAGTAGATCTTAAGTAAGACAGATACAGTGCTTGTCCTCAAAAAGCATACAGTTGCTGGAACCAAGCATTATATGTGAAAAAAATTTCTTTCTATTAAGATATAAAACAATTTCCACTTTCTGAGGAAAAAATCACTTCGAGCAGATTTTCGGATTATGGGAAACTGTGTTGAATAAAGACTATATTAGACAACAAAATGAAGGCTGAAATACTCTCAGTAAATTAAATGAAGCCAGGACATTTAACAAGGATTCATGTAAAAATTCTAAAATCGAGTTTATAAAATCAGTCTCAAGAACTGGGATGGGGGGACTTCAACCCCATTTCTGATAAAACTAGGGCCACGGGTTTTGCATTTCAGATCTGCTACAGATAAGTCTGGACCACAGAATGACTGCATGGAGAGAAGGATTCTGTTACAGAAAGTAAAGGCAATATCTTTAATTAATCTCCTGCAATGTCTTGCTTGGAGAGCCATTTCCCGCTATGCAAACAAAGAATGTACTTAAAAATTAAAACATAATATAATTATGCTGAGGGAAAATACTTTTGTAAAAGATATATTCAGAAAAACAAAAACTATAGAAAGTGTCTTTGTATTTACCTGAAATGTAAGAATTGGTGGGTAAGGAAATGAGAAGATTGAATGAATAGAAAATGGATGGAGACATTAAGAAACAAATAAATGTTTTAGATATCAAACTCGAGTTCACTAAGAAAGCAAGGGTAGTGAGCAAAAGGAAACATGAAATGATGATAGATATAGAAAATAGAAAATAGCAATGAATTTCTAATTTAAGGATTACAGAAAGTCTAAACAGCAACATTTCATCAATCCGAAGGCAACCACTAAGTGACATATTATGAGGTTTAAAAAGATTTTAGAAGGTAAAATGCAATTTCACTTTTTTAAACTACATACACAGGACATGTGTCCTTACACACATTTATATTATCGGGGGCAAAAACTGAAAGGCTATATCTCAAATGTGGTTGTTGAGATTTAAATTCATAGGATTTTGATTTTGCTAACTGCATTTTATAACAATTGCATATTATATAATTTAATAATTATAATGAAACGATTTCAAAAATAGGGAAAAATAATGAGTGATAGCTTAGAAGAAAAAATTCTAGCTAAAACATATGTGTGTGTGAGTTAGGTGTCTAACCAAATTTAACTACTTTTTCTCAGTCTCTACTTGCACTCTAGAAACATTTGAGGCTGGGCGCGGTGGCTCAAGCCTGTAATCCCAGCACTTTGGGAGGCCGAGACGGGCGGATCACGAGGTCAGGAGTTCGAGACCATCCTGGCTAACACGGTGAAACCCCGTCTCTACTAAAAAATACAAAAAACTAGCCGGGCGAGGTGGCGGGTGCCTGTAGGCCCAGCTACTCGGGAGGCTGAGGCAGGAGAATGGCGTGAACCCGGGAGGCGGAGCTTGCAGTGAGCTGAGATCCGGCCACTGCACTCCAGCCTGGGCGACAGAGCGAGACTCTGTCTCAAAAAAAAAAAAAAAAAAAAAAGAAAAGAAACATTTGAGAAACAAAACTTTTAAGCAATTCTTGTTTCTGCTTAATGTCTCTCTTTTCTGTCTTTGGGCCAAATCACCTATCTTTCCCTGTGCTCTCTATATACCAACCTAATCATCATTTTCTAAATATATTACTTTATTTCTTGCCTTTGTACTTACTTAGCACATGTTCCCAATGGCTGAAATACCCTTTTT